AATGATCCGCGTTAGAGGCCGCGTTGGAATTTATATGGCCCACGATCGAGAAGCGTAATTTATATTTTCTAGAGGGCCATTAAAATCGGGCGAAACGACGAATTTACACGGGCGTGCAATAAAACGCTCTCGACGCGATGTAAAATTCAGAGATAACTGGCCTGCCGCTCGCTGATGATTTAAACTGTTTACTTATTCTGAATGGATATATCCGTGAAATAGCTTGCGAGAACGCATAATAAAAATATCCGCGCGTCGGTCAACAAACGAACCATGACTGTTTTTTCTTTTTTTACAAAGCAAGGTTTTAAATGACAAGGGTATGACGTGTCTTTTTTATTTTGTTTCAAACGTAACTAAAATAAAACGAAAAACCAAAAGATAAGCCCGGCAACGTGAAACTCCGTTAATAATTCGTAATGTGATAGCCGCTTGGAATTTGAATCCCTTTCACGTATATTTCTCCTTTTCTATTCTTCTTCTCCCTTTGTCTCTTTCCCTTTTTTTTGTTCTATAAAAAAATTGCAAATATTTTCCATTTAGCCTCCGTTAATTCTGTTTTTTTTCCTTTTTTCTTTTTTATTACTGTTTCATTTAATCCTTTGTCCAGCAAGAAATAGTTGACGGTTGTCAGACGAGAGGTTCATAATACCATTCCCCGTATCCAGTTGAAACAGCAGTGGTAGTGGATGTTATTTCAATGTGTCGCATTCAGAGTCGAATCAATGGAATCACGGATCAATCGCGCAGTGAAAATCGCACGGAACGTTTATTTTACCGTGCGTGCCGGCTCTGTATTTCAGACGAAGGATGAAAATTGTATCGATACCGGGGCCTGGAAAACGAATTTATTACATACCTCGACATGGCCGACACACTGGAATTAATGTCGAAATCTTCCTGATTGAAATTCGCTGGTACATTTGTCATCGTGTACGGTACACATCAGCTAATTCATGTATTCGTAGTGTACATATGCAGAACGAGATTTTCCCAGATAGAAATAGAATATCAAGGTACAATACAAAGAGGAGCAACTATTTTCAAACTCTTGCTTAGCTTTTTCTACGTAACGTTGTTCATTTCTCAACGGGGATCTCCTCAAATATATCAACAGGATACAGTTTGTTAAAATACTTCCAATCATTAGCTAAGATTGATACAAACTATTACGTAATTTCAGTATATATAATTTTCATTTCCTTTAATTCTCGAATAAAAACTATATTCAGAACCGTTCGTTATTGGAAAAAGTGTTTCAAACGAAAAGTACAATATTTATGAAGATCAATTTTATTTCCTTAGGAGGATAGGATTTTTAGTAATTTTTTAACATCTACTACATATAAAAGACGAGGCATAATACAGAGAATAATAATACATCACTCACAATTGGAAAATCTAAGTCAAAATATCCATTAAAGCAATGGTCTTTTTCACAGAGAATTGTACTTTACTGTATCGTTGAAACGGTACATTTTCAATTCTTACAAACAAACTAAATTCTCCAAATCGAGAAACGTTCGCACGAGATATCTCTTCTGAACAGTTCCGAGAACAATTGCGTTTGACCGATTAATATCTGTAATCTACGTGCGATCAAGCGTTTAGCACATACGTATCCGTGATTCCAGAATTGATGGTCGTGTCCGTGGTACAAATCAGTTGTACGCGACAAGTTTTAACGGCTTGTCCGCCGTGTTAAGGATCCACCGTATTTTCGTTCATCTCCAGGGACGTGTTGGCCGGAGAACGAGAATCATGTTTACTCGTGTTCGGTCTCCGATCGTATATAAGACTCTTGGAGAAGCGTGTCTAGTGGGAAATATTTCCTCGGTGAGAAAAGATGCTTGCACGCTGCTATTGGTTTTGCGGTTTCGCAGCGTCCTTCAGCTTTTCTTTATACCCCCATTGCAGTATGGCTCGTTTATACTGCAATGTTGTATTGTAATTCAACAACCGGATACAAGCTGCTACGTGTTAAAAGCGAAATTTCCACATTGTCCGTCGTTGTTTCCCCTTTTTTCACTTGATAATCGTACGATCATCATTGCACAATCGTAAATTGCAACGTCTTCTTCTCTCGTTGCAACGTCGCTCCGATTGTAGCGGAAAATCTTGAATGACTCTCGAAAGGCGAGTGAGAAGGGTCGTTTGAGTAGGGTGGCGAGTGGCAAGTTGAAGGCGCGGAATAAAAGGGGGAGAAATTTGAAAGTAGGTCGGGGAAAAGGGGCTAACGCGACAACAAGCCAGGCGAAGTTAGAGTTCCGGAGAGTACAGTAATTAATATCAGTTTAGCAGGAACTTAGAAGATGCAATAAGTTAATAAGCAGAGCCACGAAGTTTCGCGTGCTGATCCACGGCCTTCCGGTTCCTGTAGCCCGATCCACCGACCTCTTTAACCAATTATTATCACGATACACGATTTGATGATAGTAACTACTATCTTCGTTTCTAGAAAATTATCCGTTTCTCTTTCGTCGGTAATTTGCGGTTATTTCGGATAATTATTATATTAATCATATTACATCACTATATAACATTATATAAAAATGTCATTTTCCATTAAAAGTGACGTGCGCCGTACAAAACGTACTTTTCTTATCAAAACTTTCAGTCCACGGAACACAATTTATTTGTAGTATCGTAATAATTATATTATAACGACTAAACTGCTCCGTGGACTGACAATTTTGACAACGAAAGGATATATGCATGGCATAAATTGTTTTTAATGACAGGCTTATATCGATTGACTTCTAAACCCTCGAATTATTCCTACAACACTGCAAATCGTGATTATTTTAATCATGCTAAAATCTTTTCAGCCGATAAATATAGAGTAGAATGTCATGTTGCTCAAAGAGTCTAGTTCCTATTTAAACAAGCAAAACTACAAGTAAATAATATT